AAATACAGTTTAACCTGCTTATAACGTCATCCATGGGACCGGCAATTTTTTGACGTTATAACCGAGTGTCGTTATCTGCGGGGTCATAATTTCAGTCCCATAAAAGTATCAAGTCTGTTTAAGAATCTATTATAAAATTCATCTAATTTAATATCGTATGTATAAAAGTGCAAACTAAATATTTAAATCAACTTTATTTACATTATTATGTCTAAATTTACAACGATGTAATTAAAAATTTCAAAAATTATTTTTTATAAGAAATTTTTATTTGTCAAGTTTCGATAATGGCGGCACTTTCGGTTTTAACGCCTGGATGATAATTTTCTCATTTCTTGCTTATCTATCAATGGACATGAAGTCCAATATATTTCACTTTTAGGTTAAATTAATATATATCAATTAAAAAAAACAATAAAAATATTCACTTAAAAAAAGTCAGTTATTTTAGATTGTAAACTACAACACGAGTATGAGAGCTATGCAGACTAACCCACTGTCACGTCGTTTAAAGGGGTGGCGCATCTCACCCCACCGAATCAGGTGGTGACAGTACCACCCACAATCGTTCTAGGAAGGGACTCTGACTAAACACGTAATATTTTCTTTGATAAATAAAATTTATAATTTAATTTTGTAAATTTAAGTGCTTCAAATATGACGTTAAAACAGGGTTTTACGTTGTTACAAGTGGGTTTTTTAACATTATCTAGTATAGTAAAATCGTGGGACCGATAAAAATTTGACGTTATATTAGGGTTGTCGTTACATCCGATGTCGTTATAATCGGGTTAAACTGTAGTTGTTATCCATTTTTTTTCTAATAAATTGATTTTCATGTTGATTTGAGAATGTCTGAATTTCTTAAGAAAAAGTCTAACTCCATCATCTTACCCATGTTGTGAATGTTCCCTCCTTAAAATATGGAGAATTTAATGAGAATCAATAAATACATCCTAGCCTGCAATACTGTTAGGTGGTGTCAGGAATCCTGATGAACAATTTGTTCGATATCCAATTTATATAAACAGCTATTCGAAACATGTGACAAGGTCCACCAAAGCCTTGGAAATAATTCACAATGAGACAAAATTATATTTGATGGGGAAATATCCAATAGGACAATTAATGAGAGAGATTTAAAATTATCAGAGCCATCCTACCATCAGAAAGTTTTCAAGTGCTATGATTTTTAGGGAATACTAGATCCTGATCTTTGCTTGTGTTCCTTTGTTAACTAACAATATCCCCATATGTAAAATAAAATTTCTCAAATTTACACAAATCTCACTTGTGTTCTCCTGCAGACTCCACATATCTCAATTTTACAGATTTTGGCAACACACATTCTGCTGGAGTCCTTTTACTTTTCATATATCTTCACTACAGAAAAGGCACTAAGTTTAAGTAAACTGTTCTCACTAAAATAAATCAAGACCAATATAGAAAGATACAAATAAATCTATTTATCTACTTCAGAGCTAGGTCTTAAACTTCTTCAAATTTTAAACCACTGGTATTGAAAAAAGTATAATGGGATGAATAGAAACAGCCACTATTTTTGTGTGTCTATTCTCTCCATGAATTCAAAATAAATAAATCACAAAAGGATTTATTTATTTTGATTACCATGATTATATGATTATAAATGATCAATAATTATAAAAAAATTCAAAATATGAGAGATTTCAATGAAAATTTAATGAAATAATACTAGGACAATATCCTAATGCAATTTTTTTCATATAACGAGTCTTATGACACCAACAAAATTTGTCAAACATCAAAAAGCATGTATCCAATTATCAAACATGCAAACAGACAGGCCTAGCATCAAGAATAATGTTGCTAGCCTAACAAAATTTTTAAACTTTCAAAAATAGTGTCCAAAGAGAGCATAGAGAAATTTCTGATTTGTTGGTTAGTTTCTTCATCAGACACAGTTTTCTTGATTTTTATTCACCCCATTTTACAGTACTTTTTTTAAATATAAATTTTGTTTATTACATATATTTTATTATTATTATAAATAATTGTTTTGTTTATAATTTTATTTTCTCTTCTACTTTCAAGTTTCCATACAATTTTATACTACTAAATTTTAATTTTACTTTTTAATAATACATAATATATATTTTGCTTAATTAATTAATTATATTTATTTAAAGATATAATAAGCATTTAAAAATTAGCAACATACTATTATAATCTTAATGATTACAGATAACAACAAACAAATATAATTATGGTTAAAAATTAGAAATTATTTCTATCTTCATTTATATTAAAAAATTTTACCTTTTCAGGTACAGCTGAAGCAAATGATAATGCAAGTCCCATCCTGAAACAAATTACATTTTGTAAGAAAAATTCTTGAAAAAAAATTATATTTTTAATTTACTCCTAAATTTTTCTGTTAAAATAAAAATCTAATGCAGGATGAAAGTAATATTTTAACATAAAATTCTTCAGATAAATTATTCCATGCACAAATTTTCACAAGAAAGCTTTTCTTACTTAAAAATAAAAGATTTTTATTCTATTTTTTAAAAGTAAATATATATTTTGAACAGGCTATCAAGCTTCTCCTCATTCTACAATAGTAGATATAATTATAAGAAATCCATATTATAATGAATATAACTAATATTATTTTAAAATGTAATATCTGTTAAACCTTTATAATATAAAAATCTTTTAAAAAAATACAATTTATTCAACAAAACAGCCATTTAATTACTTTTAATTTAATTGATTTTCTTTAATTCATATAGTGTTTGAAAAACTGAATCATTCTTTTTTTTTTATTTCAAATGTAATATTCTTAACAATGTTATTATCTACTTTTAATAATTCTTTTTCTGCAATTTTATTTTATGAAGGAAATAATGGCTCAGATCTCTCATTGATTTCTCTTTTTATGATAGTTAAATAAATTGTGTTTTCTTTTATCATCCCATTCAGAAGTTTATCTCAATCTCTACTATAATTTTTCATTTTGTCCTCCCTTTAAAAATCAAATACAACAGGAAAAATTTTTATGCGAGAATATTTATTTTATTATAAATATTTTGGGCTCTGATAAGTCCAGATCAATAGGTCTATGTCACTGAGCAACATCAATTAAGTGTTTTTTAATTCATAATTCAATGAAATATAAAGACAGTTGAAAATGTTTGCTATTATAATAAATTAGTTCATATTAACTAGATTACAGGTGTTAGTTGGTGCTTTTAATATATTTTTTAAGATCTTAACTATCATGGCAACAAAACCGAGTCATTGAGAACCAGCTATTAGCCAGGTATTACAAATCATGGAGCTACTTCTATATGAATTGTAGATTGCATATAGAAATGGGAAGTGAGAATAATTCCTGGTAAGTATCCTATACACACATTTGATAATTGTATCAATCCTGTATGTTCAATTTGCAAATTGCAGAAGGAGATGAAGGTGATTTGCATTGTCTAGTTGAGCATTTGATGGCTAAGACTAGAGGAGTGGGTGTAGAGTACAGGTAACCCCCATATAATACGGCACTTCTACAGCACAGATTCACCTTAACACAGTTTGAGAATTGGAAACATCCCCGTATAACACAGTGCTTTTATAGCACGGGTTCACTCTAACATGGTTTGGGAATTGGGTAAAACCTGCGTACAACATGAAATGTAATAAAGGGTGCATTCTTTTATACCTCCGCGCGAGTATTCTAATTGTTTTTGTGGCTACTTTGAATGCTCTTTCAACAAATAATCCATTTAATGGTTAAATTTTACAATTGGGACCCTTCTTTTGCCTCTAAAAGCTTATTTTAGAATTATAGATTCCTCCATCACAATACTATTGATAGTGCGGGCGCCGCCATATTTCTTTCCTAAATGCCTACAAACAGCAGTGCACTCCTGTTGCAAAGCGACTGCTATTAATGAACGCACCCAAAAACTTACCAGTTGATGATGCTCATGCTGAGATCATCATATAGAACGAATAATCCTGTGGTAAAATATTTAGTTAAATAATAAATAAGTATTTTACCTATGAAAAAAAAAGAACAATAAATCCAATTTAAATAAGGATTTAACAGCATGTTTTTTAATTTTTGGAACCTAACTCTCGTGTTATACAGGGGTTGCATGTATATCCATATTCCTTGATCATCTATTCTCTTAAAAATAGGAGAATAAGTTGTGACTTTTTGTCTGAAACAAAGTTCTTTAACCTTTTGCTCATTTCCAATATACAGTGAGTATTCACAACTTTGCTGTGGAGCTCTANGCAAATTGCAGAAGGAGATGAAGGTGATTTGCATTGTCTAGTTGAGCATTTGATGGCTAAGACTAGAGGAGTGGGTGTAGAGTACAGGTAACCCCATATAATACGGCACTTCTACAGCACGGATTCACTCTAACACAGTTTGAGAATTGGAAACATCCCTGTATAACATGGTGCTTTTATAGCACGGGTTCACTCTAACGTGGTTTGGGAATTGGGTAAAACCCGTGTACAACATGAAATGTAATAAAGGATGCATTGTTTTATACCTCAGCGTAAGTATTCTAATTGTTTTTGTGGCTACTTTGAAAGCTCTTTCAACAAATAATCCATTTTATGGTTAAATTTTACAATTGGGACCCTTCTTTTGCCTCTAAAAGCTTATTTTAGAATTATAAATTCCTCCATCACAATACTATTGATAGTGCGGGCGCTGCCATATTTCTTTCCTAAATGCCTACAAACAGCAGTGCACTCCCGTTGCAAAGCGACTGCTATTGTGAGATCCCACCTCAGAATAAGCCCAAATAGTTCATTTTCCCCCTAAATTTTCGACGTATTTAAAATAAATTTGTTGCCTCCTCGTTAAAATAACATTGTCAGAAAAAAGAATCAAATATCGATCGCAACTTATAACTTTCATCGTTTTCATCGTTAATATAAACATTCAACCCTCAAACAATGACATTCCTCTGCTGCAAGACAAAAAGTTTATAGTTAAAGTCCAAATTCTTCATTTTGTTTTGGTCCCGGGAACAACTTTGACCTCCACACCTGCAGGACCAACTCTATCTCACACAATAGGAGATCACCTGACTAATTTCCCCTATCCAAAGCTATAAAAGCGACTTCTTTCCCCTTCCTTGGGGGAGTCTCACATCTACGGTCAAGTCGCGGAAAATTTCAACTGTGTGCATCGATCACCGGCAAAAAGAACTAAATTTTTCCTACCTACATGGAAGTAAACTAGAGGTATGGAACAATTAATGTAAACTCTCTCTCCGCGAGTTAGGAGCTAGTGAACTAAATTCACTTCCCCGATGTTAGATTTTTGTATTCTTTAAATTTTTTTCTTTTCATTAATCCAATAAATCGTTGTTTCATTGTTAAATGGTGTCCTTTTACTCGCATATTGCCTACGCCTCGTCGACGACCCCTCTCACCTCCTCCACTTGACCTGACAAAAAGTATCCCGACCCTTCGGGACCGCATTCGAAATTTAGCCATCTTGACAAGTGAAGAGGTTTAACGACTGTAGCCAAAAAGGGAGAGTCGACGGTTCCCGATCTCCCCAGCAGTTCACACTATTAACGAATGCACCCAAAAACTTACCAGTTGATGATGCTCATGCTGAGATCATCATATAGAATGAATAATCCTGTGATAAAATATTTACTTAAATAATAAATAAGTATTTTACTTATGAAAAAAATGAACAATAAATCCAATTTAAATAAGGATTTAACAGCATGTTTTTTAATTTTTGGAACCTAACCCCCTTTTCGCACTAGTTCTTAACATGGATTTGCATAACACGGCAATTTTTTGGAATGTAACTCCCGTGTTATACAGGGGTTGCATGTATATCCATATTCCTTGATCATCTATTCTCTTAAAAATAGGAGAATAAGTTGTGACTATTTGTCTGAAACAAAGTTCTTTAACCTTTTGCTCATTTCCAATATATAGTGAGTATTCACAACTTTGCTGTGGAGCTCTACATATTGGTACATTTGGTTAACGTATAGAGAAATGGGGCATTTGGCAAACAGCCAATTTGTGGGGTTGCAATAGCATATATGATTGTCTATCCATAGACAAAGCTATGATAGGATATTCCACTTAAAAACAGGCAAACGCTTTTAATGTAGGAATATATGTGGGTAATGCTAAAATCTTGTAAGTATCAAAGTATCCACTAGGTGTAATTAAAGGCATTTTTACAAAGATTCTCAACTTTCTTGATAAGGCAACAGCAATGATAGTGATCCATTGATAATACTTGAAAAGAGTGTCGGTCTTGAGTGGTTCAATCAATGAATAGCCTTTCAGAAGTTGAGGTTGTATCTCTCTGAGGGTGTGTAACATCACTTCTTGTGGTATGAAATAAGTGCTTAGTCTTCTCTGTTCTAAAATGTTTGTAGCTTCTCGAATCTCTAAAAGTTGCATGTGAAATTCTAGCATAGAAAATTCTATGGTTCTAATTATCACTTCAAATGCCAAGTTATATCTATACATTCTTATTAATTCTTCGAAGGACTTTTGTCTCTGGGATAATACATGCATTTGTTGTCTATTATTTTTGCTTATTCTTAAAGTATTGTTCAGAAAGGTAGCTTGGGAATGAAGTAAGTGGATAGTTCTTTCATTGACTTGTTTCCTTTGTGTAATTTCACTATTCAAGGTTTCTATATCTTCAGATGTGGCAGTACCAAAAAGAAATTTCAACACTATCTCCAAAATCTATTAATCCACTTTTCTCCTTTGTAACATTGTTGTCTGTTACCAGGGCCTTTAATTCATGATATTTCTTTTTGTAATTGAAGAAAAATGATTTTAACAATTCAAATTCATTGGTAGGCAAAATCCATCTGGAATGATCTTTTCTCCTTTTGTGGGCTGTCTGTTCCTGTTGTAAGATCATATTCTCTAGAGAAATAAAGGATTTGATATTCAAAATGCTCAAAGTTGTTGTCACTGACCAAAAGTCCAATGACTGGATGTCATCAAAAAGTTTCCTTGATGGATGAAGATTGTTCCCTTCTTGAACTCATATGCTCTTCAGGCCATTGCATTTGACTGATGTACATCATATTGATGATTAGAAAGACTATCTTCGAGTAATGCAGCATAGTGGAAATTTCTCTCCTTTGAACTTCAAGTTCTATGATAGGGTTCCTGGAAAAATAAGTTAAATCAATATCTTGGAAACAGGACTTCAGAAAGCATCTGCCTAGTATCAAGGTTTTATGATGAGTTCATTCCTTGGATTGCTGTGATTAAAAGGGGTTTTCTTTGAATATATTACCCACCTCTTTTCTATTATAAATCCCAAAGGAATGGTTGGATCTGATCAAGATGGAGATGAATATGTTGCCATCTGGAGAAGAGGTTTCCAATTTGATTTATCCCCGGAGCTCTTATTTTTACTTTTGTGGAATAAAAGAAACAAGATTTGAATATGAGGCAGACAATGGAGGGTTCTAGGTTTTCTCATCTTTCTCAGATATTGCTTGGGTAGTCAAAATAAATTAGTTGAAAAACTACATTTGTCTTCAATGACAAATAATAAGAGAAATATAAAACATGTTTGTTTCTGAGATAAGTTCAGAAGAATTCTTTGTGTGGATCCGAGCTAACTCGATTCAACAAATAATCTTGAGCAGTGAGCTATCATAAAAAGGCCTTTGAGACATTCGGTGCTTTTGACTGCAAGGGAAAATCCTCTGTAAGCAAGAAGTGTTGCCTTTTCTACAGCACAAACGAGTAACACAGTAATTTGCACAAGACTCATCATTTATGTGAGCAGTTCCTATCACGAGGACAGGAAATTTCTCTTTCTCTACTCATTTCCCTACAGACAAGGGTTCTTCTTTGGATCAGGAAAGGTCAATGGAAAGAGGAGTCCCTCCCTCTCTCACTTATCTTCCATGCCATTGAGGGATAAGAGGTTTGTTAGTCAAATACGCACCACAAAAAGGAAATCAAAGGTCATAACATCTCATCGCTGTCTGTTCACTTGTTATTATACGAAACTCGGACCCCAATTGACTTACCCATAGCCTTCCCACTAGCATCATAAGACTCTCCTATTCACATATTGATTTGCAGAAGTGAGGTTTTGACCTCAAACTTCCTGACGAACATATATTGGATTCTCAGGAGCAGGTCTTCAATAAGGCGATACGACTATATTTAATCTATTGGTCTATCTGAGAGAATTGGTCTATTTTTCGAGTCTTTTGATGTAGCTTTGTTTTGGGTGATGATTGATAAAGGTTTATTGGTTAAGTTAAATAAGTCAATTAAAGAATAAGTTTAGAAATAAGTCTAGAGATTGTCATAGTAGCAGCTTACCCCTGTACATCATACTTTCCTGCTAGCAATAAAATCATGCCAGTCATCTATCTAACTCCTTTCAGGAGAAAATTTTTGAATTGAAATGACGTGACTTTCAATTTGCATTGTAAGTTCATATATAGTTAATTGGAGCCTCCTGTCCCTAAGCTTTTCATATCTGGTCTTGCCTTTCATGTATCTAATGCCATTCTCAAGATTAAGGAAGGATAAACAGACAAACAACAGTGGGAATTTATAGGTTTATAATTTTTTGAAATTGCAGCCCAATGAGCAACAAGAAGATATTTCACATAACTGAAATGACTATAGCTTTCTACAGTCTACAGAAAAAATAAAATTCAGAGGGCTTGACAATGCTTATGACATAACACAATGAAAAGGATTCTTGAAGGTCAGATTCAAGGCAAGAAAGGAAAAAGGTATCGCTCTATCTCTTTTTTTTTTTTTTACAACAGTCATATACTGTACCACTAAGTTTGACAACAAGGAATGAATTTATGGATGGCTACACTGGGCATGTGCCGAAGAACCACCACAAGAAAAGACAACAAAAAAGAAAATAAGAGAGAGAAACAAAAGAAAAGTAAGGAAAGATTCCTAGTGAGATAAAGAATTCCTAGATTTTACTGCATATATTAACTTAAATGTTTTAATGGTTTTTGAGTTCTTTCAAGAATTATATGTAATATGTCTTGCTTGACTTTATCAAATTTCTGTCTCACTATATATATATATTTTTTTATTATATGAAAGCAGTTCTTAGCTTATAGTTAAAATAAATGCTGTTCAAGTCTCATTATAAAAAGATATAACAACATTATGTCAGAAAATTATATAATTAATGTGGAGGGAGCAAAACACCATGAGGCGCCATCTGTCGGCATCTAAGCATAAAGAATTTTGGGAGACAATTCAAATTTAATATCTAAATGTTTGGTGTTTTATGTTGCTAATTGTAACGTCCTGTATTGTAATTAAACACTGGTATTGTGAACAATTAGTTGTCTTCATTGAGTTAAGTAGTACGAGTGAAGTTAGTAAAGTGGGAGATAAACTGAGATTCTACATTAATTATCAACATCCTTGTATAATATCTAACTGTTATTTTTCCATTATTTTTATGGAATGTTTTGATTAAATTTATTTATATTTTGTTTTTAGGAGTTTTTGTATTGTTTAGTTGAATGCAATATATGATTACATAATTATGATTATAGTATATAAATTGTAATAAAAATATATAAAAAATGTATTAAAAACTTGCCTTTCAGCACGTCCAACACGCCCAATTCTATGAACATAATTAGCTTTCTCATCTGGTAAAGTTACATTGATAACTGTAATGAAATATGAATTATGCCTTGTTAGTAATTGATAACAAACTAGGTTGAAAAACTTCCAACAATAAAAATAAATACATTAATTTTATTAATATTGTTTTTAAAAATATTATAAATTTTTTAATATACTACTGTAACACACAATGAAACTTGAGAAAAGGTATATAGCATTTGACAGATAAAGAATAAATATATCAGTTACATCGTCTAATCAAAATAGTTCTAATCAAAGAACCTTGCATCAGAGTAAAAAACTCCATTCTACAGATTTTCCATATCATCATCATAATCAAAATTACTGATATATTTATATAACAAACTAACTGGATAAATATACTATGAATAAAACACACCTTTAATAATCCAGCTAATAAAAATTAATAAAGTAATTTAAGTAACTAAAGTTTAATTTCATATTTACGTTCTTTTTTGTGTTTGATTTATTCTATGTTTTGGTAACTGAAGAAGATCATTAAAAAATGATTGAAAATGTTTTTACTTTATTAATTTTTATTAGCTGGATTATTAAAGGTGTGTTTTATTTGTAGTATATTTACTGATATATAACAACAAGGAAGTCTGTAATAGTATTTGAAGCATAAATCTAATTCTTTACATTTATACATGGTTTAGCAGAAAAATGGATGATTATAAATAGATGGTTATTAACTTTTAAATATTTATGAACAGATTTTCATGTACAAGATTTCAAACAACAAAATTTTTCATTTATGTTTTAAAGATGACATCATTCAAGTGACCTAATCTGTTGTGGATTTTGTTTTTTATAAAAAATGCAAAATCCATGACAACTGAAAGCATGTGACCAAGTTAAATTGCATTTGATTTCAAACATGTAGATTCACTTGAGATTTTGCAATGAATATGAGTACATCATGGACAAGGCTGCTGAGAAACAGCAACAGCAAAGAATGCACTTTGGATAGGAAGACCAAGAAAATGAAATCTGACCAGACTGAAACAGGTGTTTGTGTCTGCATCAAACCAGATGAGAGCTAGAAAAAAAGTTGAAAAAGGAAAAGACCCATGTCCAGGACATGTGTGAAGAAACAAAAACGATTGAGTTGCAGAACTGCTAAGCAAAGGATTTCCTGTAGTACCGAATATTCAAATAAGTTGATTAACATTGTTGGTAATTACAGAGGTCAAAGTTAACAATTACAGTATTCAAATTCAAGAAGTCAGACAATGGAATAATTTGGTCTCTATATTACTGTAATAGTAGGGTTACCAAATGTCCTACTTTTGTAGGTGATCCATGTGCCACTTGTAGGATAGATGGATGAATATAGTCTCCCATATCCACCTGCCCACATAGACATACTTCTGTTTGGACTTTCATCTCACTGCATGCTCCAAACATTTTTTCCATGGTTGGTGTAACTGTAACCCTTTTATACATTTCTGTAAAATGAACTCGTGACAATGACCGTTGGACTCCTTCACAGTCCAGTATTATTCCTCTGGCACGACGATGACTCTACTTGTGGATGTAATCGATGACAGACTTAATCAACTTTCTTCTCAAGAGGTACGGCTCAGTGGCCTCCTCAGATTCCACTGTAAAATGACATGTTAAGCTGCAAGTGAAGTGCTGAAGTAAGCTAAAATTTAAGTTTTTTATTCCTGTCACTTGTTAAAACTTTAATTCAAAATATTTATCTTAGAATCAGAATGAGTAGTAAGCGAAAATGTAAATTTAATGAAAAACTTCAAAAAAGCTTTAAAATGTTTAAAGCTACTAACAAAGATGAAGCATTTTATCCAATTTGTAACCAAACTCTGAACATTGCTTATAAAGGGTTATTGGTACATTGTAACAATGTCCCTTTATAAAGGGTTATAAAGGTACATTGTTAGAGCAACATCTAAAAACAGATTGTCATAAGAAAAATATTACATTGACTGGAAGTAATGTTCAGATTGAGAAATTTATTGCACCACACAATTCCAAATTAGAGGAGAAGATTGCTGCTAATGAATTAACATTAGCTTACCACATAGCCATACCATCATTTCAGCTTTAAATCTGTAGATTGCACAAATAAATTGAATTCCAAAATTTTCAATGACTCAATGGTAGCAACCTGAATTTCTTCTGCCAGAACCAAGACAGAAGCTTTGATTAAAGGTGTTTTGGCACCCTATTCATTAGAAAAGACATTAGAAGAGTTAGAAAATATTCCATTCATAGGAATTGCAACTGATGGTAGTAATCACAAAGATGCAAAGATATTTCCAGTTATAATTCATTATTTTAATCACAAAACTATTGGAATTGAACATAAACTTGTCCAAATGACATTAGTCTCAAATGGAAAAGCAGCTACCATTAACGACTTGTTAACAAATACACCGAGAAAAATTAATTGTTCACAAACATGTGTTGCTTTTGGGGGAGACAACTGCAACAGAAATTTTGGGTCATGTGGACATGTTGGAAAAAATAATGTGTGTTGCATTGCTAAGACAAGACATTATGCATTTAGAAGGTAGCAGATGAACAGTGCATATTGTAAATAATTGTATTCAATATGCTGTAGATTCTTTACCCATCGATATTGAGAGCATTCTTGTAAAGATTTCTAAACACTTCTCTATTTATACTGTCCTGGTTGAAAAGTTAAAAGAATTTTGTTATTTTGTCGAAGTTGAATATAAGCAAATTCTTATCCTTATTTTCAGTAATTGCACGAGTAATAGAAATGAGCCACTAAAAAGTTATTTCTTATCTATTGAGAAGTCTTCAGTTGTGCTTAAATCATTGTTTGAAAACCATTAACTGAAGCATATCTTATATTTGTACATTCATTAGCTTACAGTTTTCACCAACGTCTTTTAAAAATGGAAAAAGAATCTAATTGTATTATAGAAACAATGTCTATTTTGGAATAAGTTTCTGATATTTTAAAAGTTAGGTTAGAAACAAATTTTCTCCCATTGATAGTGAATAAAATTCTGATGAAAAATGCAGAATTGGAGAAAGAATGCCAAAATGTAAAAAGAAATTGCTTGATTATGTATCAAACTGGACTGGAATACTTAAATCATTGGACTGTTCAATTTTTGCCATTCAAAAGTTTTTAATTGGATGTCACTTACAAAAATCCCTGTCTGAGAGGATGTTATGGAAAGTATTGAATATATAAATGAAAGGAATATTGCAGTTGATGATTCAAAGTGCATAAATCAGTATAGTTCTTTGGAAAATCATTTAAAAGAAAATTCTAATTTAAATGAAAAAATCAGTAAGTGAAAAATGGCTTGGTTTTTTTAGGCAACAGACAATCCAGAATTACATTATGAATTGCTTAAAATTTGCCAATACATGTTTTCAATTCCCGCATACAATGCCACCACTGAAAGAATATTTAGTCTGGAGGAATCTCAGAGGACAGATGAACAAACCAGAATGGCAACTGAAACAGTAAAAAGTCTGGTTGTGGTGAAATTCAACTTTAACAATTGTAATTGTTTAGAATTTAATGATGAAACTTAAGAAACAAACAACTGCTAAACAGAGTCAGCACATCAGAAAAATATGATTTCATGCAGCAACCTTAATTAAAACAAACAATTAAGTATGTGTTTCATTGGCATTAGTATTTGTGAAGGTTCAATAAAAAATACTTTTTTTTTTTTTTTTACAAAAATTTTTGTGTCCTACTTTTTGACTTTTTCCTACAGGAATTGTCCTCCTTTAGCATCTGGTTATTTGATAACCCTATGTAACACAATTACAATTTATGATAGCAGAGCAAAACACTAATTCTTGTTTCTCAATTTGGCTTGTTTAATGTTATGAGAGCTCATAAGGATTGCATCTGAAAACTTTCAGTATTTAAATACATAGCATAAGTTCTCAGAAATATGACTAAGAACCTTCCAGAATCTTGGTCATATCTACTTTCAGTTTTGACATTCAATATGCTTGTCTTTAGTTATAATCATTTTGGATTAAACCTAGTAATAAAGTGTTTCTTATATATTTAGCAAAACTGTTTTAACTATAGAAATAAGAACATGATTATGTGACAATTACTTGGTATAAACATAAAAAAAAGTACTAAAGCCTGTTCAAATAGAAACCTGCAAAAATAAAAAAAATTTGGTACTGTCCAATTCCAGTTTACACAGTTTTACTGTATACGAATAAGCAGAATTAATTAAGAATAAATAAATTATGTTTTTACCAAAGGGTATTCCTTTCACATCAATTCCACGTGCTGCTACATCAGTACAGATAAGAAACTTGACTTCTCCTCTCTGAAAAAGCAAAGATTTATGGAAATTTTAGCAAATACTTATATTTATTTAATAAACAATATTAAGTTTATAACATTTTACAAATCTCTTTAAGAATTAAAATATATTTTTAAAATTCAATTTAAAAATAAAATGTTTAAAATGCCAACCTTCATTCATACATATTTATAAGATTGACACAAAGCTTATCCACATAATTTTTAAATTTAATTTGATTTTATTATTAAAAAAATGAGATGGAATATTAGTTTCATTGAGGCCTTCAAATATTTTATAAACATTACTTAATATTTTCCTAATAACAGGTTTATCAAGTGGCAGAAATGGAACATTTCTAGTTTTTTATATCTTTATTTACATTATTTTGGTCATTTTATCAAANACAAGATATATCGGGGCCACCACTAGAATGCTTTCCAGCCGCCTTGATGAGCACCAAGACGATGTTATGAGGGGAAGACACACCACCGAGCTCGCAAAAAAGGTACTTGAGCAGGGTTACAACCCGCTATGGTCCCAAGTGGTTATGCTCAAGAGCTGCAAAGATCGAAAAACTGTTTTTATATGGGAATCTCTCCTCACTACCACCTTGGACACTTGCAACACCCCTACGCTTGAGCTGCCTAGTGTATGGGTCACGTTGTACAAGCGATTAGGCGAGTATTCGTAGTCTCTAGAATGCATGCAGCGTGAGCATAGCTCTGCGCATGCGCCAGCTCGCACTTCACGGAGCTATCTGCTCGTTCGGTTTTCGAATTATGTTTAAATTTCTACGTGTTCTTAACGGCTTTAGCATAATTTCAATTTATATTACGCGTTCTATTTTGTGTTCGATTATTTTTTGTTTAAATCGCCTGAGGACGACGACAATAGGCTCGTCGAAAGTGCTAGCGATAAAAAAACGCATTTAACGCCGAACTCAGTGTTTTTGTTTTTGTTTATTTATTCCACACACAATAAGAGATTCAAAATTTTTGTTGTAAACAACAAAAATTTTCAAATTTTAAAATGCATCAGTTTTATTTATAAGGTTTTTACAATTGTCTTTTTTCTCAAGCAAATTAATTTATGATATAGATGTTGATTACAATAGTAGTAGTCAAATTTGATTGTTTGCATGTTGGGACCATGTGACCATCTGACATTTCTCTATTGTACAGCATGGTTTACAGCATATATTATAATAAGATGGTAGTTAAATTGATGACATTTTGGGAAGGGTATATATGTGGCCTTATCTACACAGACTTCAGCCATTCCTTGAAAGACCCTGCTCGTTATACTTTTTAACTGAGTATCAAATAAACAAATAGGGGAAGGTAATCCATAATTGTAAGAAATAATCACCAGATTCATACGGACAGCCTGGAAAGTACCATAAAAACCTACTTCAGCCATCTCATAAACAGGATACTGTGAAGACTTTCAGATGCAGTTCAGATAGAAAACCTGCCTACACAAAGAAGTCTTGCTCAACAATTGGGTATATCCCAAAATACTGTAGAAAATATCATTCATAATAGTCTGCAGCTGCAATACAGGCACTAGGCACTTGGACATAAGGGCAATTCACAAATGTCCTAAAGTTATACAAAAATCTACTCTCTGATGACAAATGGTGTTGGATTGTGACTCTAGATGAAGTCTGAGCCTATCTAGATAACTGTAACAAGTCATGGTCTGTTTACTATCAAGATATTGATTGAGTACAAAGGTTGTTCTGATTTCATCCTGCAGAACAAAGAAAATTCTCAAAAGGCTTTATTAGCAGCTGGCAATTGCACCTATGGAAATTTGAAACTTAAATGACTTGATCCCAAGACAAAGACAAACACAGCATACTTTCAGGAGAATGTGATGGATCAAGCTGTACAGCAAATAGATCCTTATTTGTACAGTAATGAAACTTCAAAGGTTTGGATCCATATGGACAAGACTTTTAGCTACACAGCTAAGTTGTCAGTGACCTATTATGATCAGAATAAAGGTGATTCCATTTTCATCCATATACATGCAGTTCCCAGATGCTATCTATAGACTTTTGCAAATTTGGTTTGTTGAAAAGAGGGCTTGGAAAATGGAAACTTAAAACTGTTGATGGTCTCTTGAAAGTTTGTCAGTTAGTGTGGGCCAATATTCCTATGCCACAGCTAACACAGAGTCTTCTACAATGGAAACTGAGGTGCAGAGTTATTGTTCAGTCATATGGGAGGACAGAATGTAATAGTGACATCCAAGATTTTATTAATTATAGAAAGTACCCAAAATTGATTACTCTTATTGTATTTAACCTTTGTAACATAGTTTCTAAACTAAAACAACTCAACAAATACAATATCAAACCACAAACAGCATAAAAATTTCATAATTTGAATTTTAAATTTATGTACATACAATTCTATTTTTATTTTTACTCTCTCTCTCTCTTTTTTTTTGTTTTTTACACAATTGCAATTTGACATAAACTAGAAAAAAAATTCAATTTTCTTTTTACATGATTTGATTTAATTTAACTTGTTTCAATAACTTCATTTTTAAAAATCCCAATTTGATTTTAATCACAATTAAAAATATTCACATGTCCTTTTCTAGAAAACTGCTATTTTTTAAAAAGTTCTTAGAATTTGCATTTAAGGTTGTTACTTACACTCAAATAAATTTTAAGATTTGGTTGTTTTTGTGACTTATGTGAATATGTGTAGCAACAGTCAAGTCTTTCATTTTGACTTTATCCTGCAATCCAGAAAAAATTGAATTAGAAGTTTGATGATTTGGTTTTATGATTGCATTTCTTCCAATGTCTTTCAATACCAATTAGTTTTTGTATGCAATTTATGTTAAAAGCTAGGAATATTTTAGTGTTTAATTGAAAAAAAAAATCAAATAAAAAAATTTGTGCAAATAATATAAATTTATTAAATTTCACTGATAAGTTATCTGATTTATTAACTAAAATTGAAATATTTTGTTTAAACACATTCTATTATATTCTTTGGCTTACCATATTATTTTTTTCTGATTTTTAAGACCCATAACCAATATTCTATTTCTACACATGAATACAGTAGAGCATCGATTATCCGACTCAATTGGGAACTCAGGTTGGTCGGATAACTGAAAAAATCAGATAACTGAAAAGAATGAAAAAAATACATTATTACTATAGTATATTAGTATATCCCATGTAATTAGTATATTAGTATATCGCTATTAACCAACTTCACGTTGAATTTTCATCGATGTTAAGCCTAACAATTTTTTTTAAAAAATAATAATCATCGTTATTGTATCGTTAAAAATTATTTTATTGCTCACAAAACAAACAACCACTCATAATTAGAAAATTGAGTCACGTTTAAATATTTGCCTCCCTTCAATGGTCGAGCCGAAGATGCCAGCTAAAACACGCAAAAATTTAACAAAAATAATATTAAAGTAGCCAAGACATAGCCAAATATTGTAGTGCCATATCACTAGCGGACATTTGAAATTTGCCGACTAGAACGGCCGGTTAACTGAAGTGACGGTTAATTGGGGGTCAGATAATCGATGCTCTACTGTATATCTTTCTTTTTTTTTTTTTACACAGATTTTCAGGAACATATCTACCATATAAAAATAGAATTGGTATGTATGTAAATATTTCTTTAAAATTGTTTACCTTAAATTTTTCCAAATTTCCTTTTCTTTCTTGTGGTTTTCTATCACCATGCAAGCACACACATGAATAAAAATGATTTTTGTTCCGAGCACCTGAATTTGATATGGTGGATCTTAATTAAATTTTAAAATTTATTACTATAATTTATATACTTTACAATTTAAATTAATTTGAAAGGTGGTTCAACTTCTAATTGAAAATTTTACTACTGTCATTTCTCCAGATATTCTCTATATACTGGCACTTGTCTCATCAATGTGGAATGCATGTATTTCAGCAAAATAAAAATATTTTGACTAACCTCAGATCCACTTAACAACACACTGGTATTATTAGATTTGAAGCTTTGGCTTCCTGAAGATTCCTTCAATGGTCCAAACAGGTATTTATTCAGCAAAAAGTCCAATATTTGATAGATATTCTAAAATTTTCCAGGGAAAGTAGTGTCAATTGAGATTAGTTTAAATAAAATAAAGTAATTAACACTTCAGTGTTGCAGCATTACAAATTGCGACTTTTTAGATTTTAGACGTACTCGCTAGCACTTTTGATAGCTTATAGCTACCATCCTCAGGCGAAAAATCGAATACAATTTTTCAAATGTTCAGCTTTTGAATAAACTTTTCAAATTATCAAAGGCACGTGGATGGAATACAGAATAAATTTTCGAAAATTATAGAAAATGCTGCAAATGTTGTAATATCTGCAAAAATACTTAACTCACTTTAGTTTCCAGCAATTTTTGATATAAATGTAATTAAACATAAAAAATACTTAAAACTGAAAAAAAACGAAAAAAATGCGTTAATTTTGAAGAAAAAGCTTCAAACTTTATTTTCCATTGTATCGCCTTTCTGCGAAATTTGACACCTATGAGTCATTGTTTACAGAGCTGGATGACCTTGAACACAGCTGGAGTCGGATTTCCCGGGACATTCTCACAGAAGTCTCGGGAGGCAATGAGTTTATAGTAGGGTGAGTACTAGTTGGCCGTATATTTTTAAATATTTTTAAAAAATTAAAATTTTTATTGCGATTTCCGACTCCCCGACTTAATTAAACTTACATATAATAAAATCTATTAATTAAAAAAATTAAAAAACTATTGAAGGTCGTTTTTGATATCAGAAAGTAGCTTTAAATAACTTTACCGAAGTAAAATCCGTGCACTACAACTTTAGAGCAATGAATGAAATTTGATATCAAAATCCCATTAAAAATAATTAAGCGTTAACCGTGCATCATTAAAGGTAAATTAAAATCGCGATAAAATTTTTTCGCGCGGGAAAAAATTTTTGAAAAAATTTGGAGACCAGAAAACATCCAAAAATTGAAAGGAAAATTTTTAGAGGACGAAAAGACCGAGTTTTCTGTAACGCTATATAACCTGCCCGAGAAAACTCGGGCGAGGAACTAAAGGTGTTTAAATTGATTTAACAATTAAAATTTACATACTAGTCTTTCAAAGTAGTCCTTCCTTACAAACGTATTTCGTCAGAAACGTGTATAAACGAGAGAAACACGTATCAAGTGAATAAAATTTAATTCTGTGATTTGCCAAGTGTCTATATAGGCCTATATGTTACCGCTAAAGCTCGAAATCCGTTAATGTGCACATTACCTAGCTAATCTGCACATTAACTACGGTGATCCGTTAAAGTTGCTAAAATTGTTCTATTTCTCAAATTACCTAGGTAATGTGCAGAGTATCTAGGTAATCTGCACATTACCTACTAGGCACTCGGTAAAATGAAAATAAGATTTTTGCTGGAACAACAGCAACGTTTCTGTACGCTTAAATTAACATAATGTTATTTATTTAATTTTCAATATCTAAAGAATCAAGTT